ACGAAATGGTTAGTATGAAGAGTAGGCACTGAGGGTGGTCACTGCAAGGGTTTCTTTACGTCCTCAGTGGTTCTTTAACATCCCTCCGATATTGGTTACTAATGATGAGTGTGGAGAGAGGGGACCACCATTTAAAGTAGTCATCCGAGCCACTTGRAAGTCTAACCATAGCAGATGTAACTACAAAGGCAGCACTTTCTCTTCAGTTAGTTTAAGACCCTTAGTGTTGGTCTGRCTGAGACTCGAACCACGACCTCCCACATGAAAGTCTGATGCTCAACCAACAGAGCCAACTGGTTGGTGGTTCAGCGATTCGCAACATATTTTGGTTTCTCAGGAAAAAATGAGAAATGTGTGCATACATTCTTGAAAAATATGCCTTAAAATTGTGAGAAAAGTTGTTGGAGAAGTGATACACTGTGCAATTGTTGATGTCTCTAGCATGAGTATTTCAATAGACAGCAACGAAAGAGATTTTGCTAGTTGTCAGTGATTGTATAGGAGACTGGCCTTTATGAGAATTTATATAAACTTTTTTCACATAAACTTGGATGTAGCTTTATTTCTGATAAAGTCAACCTCATTAGTATTCTTTATGTATAAAGACACAAGTCATTATATAACAATTTGTTGAATACTAAAATGAAGAGGACTTTATTGGATACAAAGGTCCAAGAATGTGATGTGTGGGGTCACTAAAACACAATGTACAGTATGTCACTATGATRTCACAGCATCACTCAAATCAARAAATATTTTACCAATCAACTATTTACTTTATGAAGAACCAGTACTGAACTCCAGGGGGAGGGGTACTCCCCTATATTCACTATATGGGTACGTGCCGYCAAACAGGGTATGGTTTTCAGCKATTCTATTCTGGAACAGGGTATATAAAATTGCGCTCGCTCTGGAACAGGGTCAAGGTTCGGAGGACTCAGCGRGACATTCCTACCCTAAAAGGGCAAGAGTACCCCCCCGGGACTGAACTACTGTCAAAGGGGTTCCTTCTGTAGGTACCAGAGCACAGAATGAGTCATAGGTTTCCRAACACACGAGTGGGACTTAGAAATTTTGGTTCTCTTCACTTAGAAAAAAAATTAAGTGAAGACACCAAGAATCGAACTCGGTACCTTCGGCACCAAAGAACTACTACAWCCCTAACCCTAAACCTAACCCCTAGACCACGAAGCGAATTCGGTTGGGTGGTCTCATTTTTTAGTCATATTTAAACGATGTATCATTAGMATGTGYACATAAATATATATTATAGCTTAATTTATGCTATCGTAGGGTACGACTAMTAGCCGATTACTCGAAATTTGCATTTGAATAGAATTCCCCTGACAATTCCCGTACGTACAGAAAGACCCGTCAAAGGGTTCATTTGCTCTTTAAAATTTTTAGTTTAAAACTGATTCAGAGCAAAAATGAAACGACAGTTCAAAATAAAATGCTTTTTTGAAGGAAAAATAAACCCAGAAAACACGAACTAAACCTTATGGTAGTATTTGTATAGATTAGTGTAGTATGTAAGCATTTCTTACCGGATAAAGGTGGGTATTTTTAGCCATGCTTTCCTTCTTCTTCCGCCATGTTGTTTGTTTATGTTTTTGACATGCCCACACAGCATCATGGGACACCACAGGGATACCATGTAGAAAACATACCATAAGTCGGACATAGTTTCAGGAGCTTTGCATCTAAAAAGTAAAAAGTTTGTGGAGATCAAGTCATTATTGACTCCTGCCCTCTTGCTCCTCTCTTAGCCCWGGTCTTCCTCTAAAAAAAGATAAAGAATAAACCAATAACACAGGCTTACTGGTGTGGTCTGGATGCCGACTAATGCACCAGTCATTTGACATCCCCCGC